AATTAAATAAATACAAAACCATTTTTCTACGCTATTTCATTTTACTTCGAGATGCATATTTTAATGCAACCGCTCAGAGTTATATGTATTGACTATTCACATGTATATGGGTAGTCAACATGTACTTGCATTGATATTCTTATGCTGTTAATTCTTTATTTATATATATTTTTTTGCAATTGTCGAATTTTTTTTCTGAATTACTACTTCAGTTTTATTTAATCACAATCAAAATCCATCCAGTGCTTTCAACATTTGATACATAACTTTAAGAGTTCAATAGAAACTTAGAAACCTCATTTCTAACATGGTTATTTTATGCGTAAAATAAGTACCATATCTATAGAAATGATAAAGAATTACAATTATAATTATATATGATATAATATTTTTCAATAAATTGCATTTCAAACTTTTCTCAGCACCATACAGTGTGAATTTCGTAAAGATTTACGTTCCAAATATGCAAAATGTGGATGCATCGGAATTCTTTTCATAAATAATATCTTGAACATTAAATTTAAAAAAATCTTCAAATTTATTGCGTCTAATGTATTTCCGACATAAATAAATAATTTTTGATCATTTACATTCAGAAACATGCATAGAAACTTGATTTAAATAGACCTACACTCAATTTTTCTTTAACTGACAGCCATTTTTTATATCTAATCACATGACTTAGATGATCGATGTTGAAAAACAAACATCAAAATCATGAACTAGAATGATAATAGTTATATAAAAATCACATTTTAAAGTGATTTTATCGTAGGCCGGAAAATGGCCTTATAGATAATGAACCTTTGTAATATATATACCCGCAGTATTTTTGTTTAAATTAAGGATACACTGTCTAGTTTTGAGAGTATGCCAGGGCATCAACAATAGTGGGAAACATGGGATAATTTGCATAACGGGCGAAGCCCGTTATGCTAAAATTATCCCATGTTTCCCACTATTGTTGATGTTCCTGGCATACTCTCAAAACTAGACAGTGATTCCTTATATTTCCATTTCATTGTGAAATAAAATTGTAGATTTAGACTTTAAGAATGTAGACATAGGTTTAAATTACATGAGGACTTCTATACCAATTTCAATATTCCTCGCCCACTGACGTCAAGCATAAAGGCAGCCGCACGAAATTTACATGCATATTTGGCTTCCTTAGCATCAGACATAGTTACAGATGCGCACGAGATTTGCATGCATATTTGGCCTCATTAGCTCCTGAACGATCGACCTGCCTAATTTATTTATCAAAGAATTTTCATGAAATCAACTCTGCTAACTTTCAAAGAGTTATCACAGAGGCAAAATATTAGAAATGAAAATTATTATACATGTATATAATTCATAGTTTTTCTCAAAGTTTTCTGCTATTAAGTTTTTATTTTCATTTTAATTTTAGATCCAGTACAGCGTATTCTCGTGGTTGATTACAACACATGGAAGACAGAGCTTTCTGGTCTGTATTTATTCAGTTATCTCTACATAACTCATCCCCCCACAATGATAATTTTCTTAGAAAAAAAACTCTTTAATATATAGGACATAGAATCAAGCGAAGTCTACATAGGATCAACAGTTAGCACCGTATGAAATTCAGAAATTAAAGCCTTTAAAATCATTCAATACTAGATCCATACCCTTAAAAATTATGGTGAAACTAAGAAAACTATACCAACTTACTCGATCCCGGTTAAAACTTAACAATGACAGGAACTTTCTCCTCATATTTGATATTTTAAATAGCTAATATTTTTAACCATATTCCATATCCATTTATATCCATTCGTACCGGAATACTTACATGTAGCGCAACTAGTTTATAAAACATAAAAAATAGGCATTTACATTGTGATTGGGGTTGGACCCCAACCCCTTCAACATTTTTGTCCTGTATATGTATGACATGCACTACCTGATATCGTAGCTTTTGTCTTAATAATATCTTTTCCGACTGATACATAGGATATTATATGAACAGTTTAAAAATGCTTATTGATACAGAAGGCTTACTTTATCGATATCAGATAGTGCATAAAAGAACACAAAAATAGGACAAAGTTTTATCCACTCCAGAATTCGAGGAAAAAAATGGAAGGGTTAACAGCCCGAAGTTTCTATGATACATAGTTGTGAAATCGGAGATATTTTATTTATCTTTTTTATTCATTTCTGACGATCATAGTTAGATGTATACTGTTAAATCTGACAATTATGAAATTAACAAAAGGCGACTTTAAATAGAGGAACATTACAAGTTTGTATATACAACTACAGGGCAAGAATACCGGTATAATCCATGAATTTTATGTTGTAAATACTGACTTTTTCTTGTGGATAGTTACTCATGATATTTCATTTTTATTTTTCAAGATCAATTCTGCACACTGACATATGATGAGGTGTCAGTGTTATTCTGTTTTCTGTGTTCTGACTCCGGTCCTCCTGACTTCACTGACACAGAGTGGCTGGACCTGCTTAACGGGATACGACAGTTAGCGCACCGTATAAAATATAATCCTGTAACACGTGAGGAAGCACAGCAGACTCTGGACAGACTGAAGTCACGTGATTACCTTTGGGAAGACCAGGACAAGATAACGGAGGACACAAAGGATGAGACAATGTATAAGATAGCTTCAATAAAGAGTTATATACCATTCTATTGCAGTAGTTATGACACAGCCAGTGTGTACCTGAGATCACGGGGATACAACGGAGAACCTGGAGAGAAGTGTGTCTGTGGTGTCTGGTATGTCTGTGATTCCTTACTGATACGCCGTCTACAGATGAACATACTGACTCACGTCACCATGGAGGACACTGATATATATGATGAGATACACCAGATATGTAAGTCAGTGGAGAAATGTGATTTATTCATATCCCTTTTCAGAATTTTTGAATGATTGTACATGTATCATATTCTGGAGTGAATTATAATTAGAAACATATACTGCAGGTTTCCGTATAGTTCTAGGTATTTATTCGTATTTTCCTTTATCAATCTCAAGAACTTTAATGAAGGTAAATTTAGAAAATCTGGACCCGGTTGTATCAACGGTTCATTAAATTTAATGAATTATTAAGTCTAATGATTCATTAAATTCTTAATGATACATTAGTTAATAAAGTCATTAAAGTGTGTTGTACAAAACCTTTATTAGAGTCTTATTACTTAATGAATCATTAAATATTTAAGAATTCATTAAAGATTTATTAACATTAGGGGAATATCCCACAATGCAAGTTTAATGATGCTTTATTCATTTATTAAATGTCGATACAACCGGATCCTGAAGAATAAAGTTAATTAAAAAGCTTTTAACTCACAGCTTTAAAAACTCCGCGTCGATAACTGAAATTGAATTTCAAATTAGCATCAGGGCGTTTAACTGTAAATGTTTTAAGGACCCTCTCTACACTAGCGCAAATTTTTTTTGGACATTGAGAAAAATATATCGTATAAAGGAGTTAATGTTAAGCTTATTTATCTAATTTTCACTGTACGTGGTGCGTAGCATTTATCCCGGGAAAAATGTTCAAAGACATTACAGTATCAGTGAAAAGAAATCACTGTTAATTATTTCAATATAGAAAAGAAAACATGTAAATAACACGTTCAGTTAATTTATCTTGGCCTTTTAAATGTAGTAAGCCGTGTTTAAATCCGCACTTGTCGCGTTCATAATTTATTCTACCGAAATTAGAATCAGTGATCACCCCCCCCCCCCCCCCCCTTCCCAACGAAAAAAATAAAATTCTAAAATCAGCGTCAAATAGAGAATACTGATAATAATTTTCTTTAATGCATAATATGAATATAGAGAAAACATGTAAATAACACGTTCAGTTAATTTATCTTGGCCTTTTAAAATGTTAAGAATACTTGAATTAATTACACACACAAATTGAGTCAACATTAAATAATTCTAAATATATGTACAAGAAAGTTACGGCACGGGTTCGAATCCCACTGTGGGGCGTGGACAGGTCCTTTGGAAGAGACCGTATAAACCGAGGTCCAATGTCGCAGTAGGTAATACGGCCCCCTGATTCTAAGGTATGTTTCTACAGTTGGAGTGATCTGCCCCTATATCTATATTCTAAAAGATGGAAATCTTTAAAATATATTACACAATTTGTGTGTGTAATTAATTCAGTAGTAGTACTTAGACAGGTCCTAAGATTGTGCCTAAACCGTACTTACTACCCTACTTAAGTCAAAAACTTAGCATGCTTTATGTTACGAGACCCAGAACTTTTAGTGTGCAGTGTAGAAAGGGTTCTAAAGACAACAGTGTAAAAGTATTATATTGGGCGGTGTATTCTTTTCAGCGCTTTTGGCGAAAAATACTTCCGCTAATTAGGCCTATAGTACATCGCTTAATGTCTTGAATATTGATACATGAATAAGAACATAATGAAATGCGCTAAATCAAATCTACGCTAACTTGTTTAAAATCACTTTCCGCTAAATATCGTATACGTCAAATATACATGTAATTATACATTTACAGTATTTTTTTTCTACAGTGAACATTCCAGTAAATAATGTTATGAGCAGCAAAGATAAACGAGAAGAGTTTCTAAACGATCTAAAAAAGGAAGGGGAATCTGTAAACAGCAGGAAACCAACACATGACAGTGTAGATCACGTGACGTGGCTCTGGAGATACGGGAGACCTGACATCGTGAGATCCTGTATAGGTCTACATCCACACTGGGACATTTACATCATCGACAACAAAGCTTACAGAAAACCAAGTAAGAAGGAAACAAGATTATCTTTCCAGAAAATATCACCTCTCTGGCTTCAATATTATTAGAGGATTTTAATAAAAAAGGAAACTAATTTTGTCAGTATTGACCTGTTCAACATTTCCTAATACTTTAGACATTAGATCAATAAAAGCTTGAGGAGTCTACTCATCATAACATTATTACACCAATAATTTCGGCATTGCGATTTAAAGTCACTGCTTTTAAAAAAACAAGCTAATTCAGAGAATTTGTTTTCCCCCGCTTAGGGATCGAAAAAAGTAAACGATGCGCAGTTCGGGGGTCGGGGGGTGGGGGGGGGGGGTTCGGATCTCCTTGACTGAATTTGTAGAATTATTGAATGCATACATGTTTACTGAAGCAAATAAAATATACCAATATGGATATGTATATAGGGAATTCTTTTAATATGGAAATTTATCACACTAGTACTGTAATGATGATTTTATGAGTTTGTACAAACCAGACCTCATATATTTCACATGCTGAATACTATCATTTAGTAAAAGAAAAAGTATTTCGAAAAAAAATTGGATCGTCGGAGATGCGACATAGGGCCCTCTCAGAAATGAATCGGGAGACATACCACTAGACCACGGAACTGCTTTACAATGACACAAATTATATGCAAAGATGAAGTCACATACATGTTTATATTCACGTTCGATATTGTCAAAATTTTACACAATGCATGGTGTCTATATTAGCTTTTATTAAACAGTTCTAATAGTTGTAATAAGAATATAAAGTCCATTGAGAACCTGTTTTATACGTAATAATGCTGTTCATGCCCCCGTGCTAAAAATACTGTATACAGGGTTATTTTCGTCCCGCTTTATTTTCGCCCTTTCAGACTTGCAAAACATTTTGCTCAGTCTTAATTTCGCCCCATCACAGTTTTGTTTAGAAAACATACCGTATTTTTAGGTCACCTGAGTAAACTCAGGTGACCTATCGCTATCCGTTTTCGCCCGTCGTCGTGCGTCGTTCTTCGTGCGTTAACATTTGAACATTTTCAGCTTCTTCTCTGAAACCGCTGAACCAATTTCAACCAATTTGGCATATAGCATCTATGGGTGAAGGGGAACAAAAATTGTGAATTTCATGGTCCCTGCCCCCCCCCCACCCCTTGGGGCCTGAGGGGTGGGGCCAAAACCACTAAAATTGATGCAATCTTTAAAAATCTTCTTCTTTACTCCTGGAAATCAAGCAGTCAAACTGTTTACATGATTGTAATCAGCGTTAAGTCCTCTACCAAAATTGTGAAATTCATGGCCCCGGGGTCAGGGGTTCTAGTGCTAGGGCGGGGCTATATAGATCATATAGTGAAAATGCATTATTTATTTGAAAATCTTCTCCTCTGCTTCTGGGTATTTAATAAACTAACCAAGTACATAGTTATGTTGAATAAGGCTGCCTCTTCCAAAATTGTGAATTTCATGGCCCCAGGGTCAGGGGATCTGGTGTTAGGGCGGGGCTCTATTGATCATATAGTGAAAATGCATTAATTCTTTGAAAATCTTCTTCTCTGCTGCTGGGTATTAAATAAACTAACTAAGTACAAAGTTATGAGGAGCAAGAGTGCCTTTTCCAAAATTGTGAATTTTATGGCCCCAGGGTTCGGGGTTCTGGTGTTAAGGTGTAGCTCTATTGATTACATAGTGAAAATGCATTTAAGTAAGCCTTTCCAAATCTTATTGGTTTTCTTCTGTAAATTCCTATTACTTTTCTTCCGCTGATTTTTTGTTTCGACATTTATCGAAGAGACTTTTTGTTCATCGTAAAGGTCATTAAAAGTTAGGAACAACTTTGACCCAACGCATATGAACTATGACCCCTTTTGAAGTTATTGCCCCTTTCGCAAGAAATGCTTGTTATCGCTACTCCTCCGAAACCGTAAACCGTAGAGGTACGCATGCTTCACCAATGTCTTCGACTAATTTAGTCGGTTCTCCAAACTGGGAAGTGCGAAAGAATTCCTATAAAACCCCTTTGAGTAGTTATTGCCCCTGAAAGTTTTAAAGCTTACAATTTTTTTTTAAACTTTTAAACAACAAGTGGTAAACATTTGGGACCAACTGCATGAGATCTTATGACTTTTGACCTTGAAAAGGAGGTCAAGTTCAAAGGTCAAGGTCATTCAAAATATGAGAAAATTAAGGTTTTTTTGTAGCTCCTTTGTTCTTCAACAAATTTTAAACATCTTTGCATCTTTGACATGTACTCTTAAAACCATTTCAGAGATTTCATGCTTGTCCCCTAAGATTGACCCCTCTAAAAGTTAATGCCCCTTTCAGTGCAAACCTTTGTTATCGCTACTTTTCCGAAACCGTAAACCGCAGACGTTTGAAACCTTCAACAATGTCTACGACTAATTTAGTAGACTCTTGAATCTATTCATTGCGAAAGGATTCGTCAACCATTTTTAGTAGTTATTGCCTCTTACAGTTTCTGATGTTTACGAAGAACTAAAAACTTTTTAGCGACAAGTTGTAAAGACATGGGGACAATGCATGAGATCTTTGGACCTTTGGCCTTGAAGATAAGGTCAAGGTCAGAGGTCAAGGTCATTTGGAAAGTATCAAAATTGCTAATATATGTTTTTTTTTGTAAATGACCTTGACCTTTGACCTTCATATTTGACCTTGACCTTTTCTCACAAGTTAAAAAGATATATTCATTACCTTTACCTAGATTGAGCTTCAAATGTAAAGTTCAACTAAATAAGTGTTTTTTATGACCTTGACATTTGACCTTGATAAATGACCTTGACCTTTGACCCATAGGTCACAATCAAGCTTAAGTACGTGAAGGTATTTACTCTCACTTTAACAAATACTTATATTATAACCACCCCCCCCCCATTCTCTAAAAAAAAAATCAATAGCTACCTAGAAAACTTTTGTACAAGTCAAACGAAACCAAAGATGAACATAAAATCCAGTTTAGCATGTACAAGACACCTCAAAGAAAGTGCCCTCAGAGTTTTACGGTGAGTCTCTTAAGTACAATTAAATTCTAGTGAATATTGGCAAAATCTACATTTTTTTCTGTCTGAAATTTAATTGTTGCTGAGTATAAAAATTAATTAAAGCTTGTATTGGCTATTTTTTCGATTGTTGTTAAGATCATTCGATTCTCCTGCTCTCCTATCAGTTTACCATATCTGTCAAAACGAAAGCGGCCTTTTTCAAATACATAAATTGCTACGCAACCTCAAATGCATGTATACCCGTTAATAACAATATCATAATTGTAATCAGACAATATCCCTTACATTTTAACTCGAAAACAATCTCATTCAAACTCACATATACACCCAGGAGCTTGGCAGAAGTTTATTAACTGGTACTACTTGACTGGACAATGAATCAAGGAAATCCCGGTAACTTTAACTCGACAATAATACAAGTAAATTTCAACGGAACCTGCGGTGTAGGGTTAGAGCACTCGACTGCTAATCCGAAGGTCCATGGATCGAATCCTCCTGGAAGACTTTTTAATTTTTTTTTTTTTTTTTGATTTTTTTTTTTTGGCGTTTTTCTGGTGTTTTTCTTCATTTTTTCAACCCAAATGACACGGAAAGACTTAAAAAGGTGGAAAGACGTCTTATTGTTCTCTGAACAATTAGTTTACTAGTTCTTTGAAAATCTTCTTCTCTGCTCTTGGATATTGAATAATATAACTAAGTACAAAGGTATGATGGGCAGGAGTGCCTCTTCTAAAATTGTGAAATTCATGGCCCTGGGGTCAGGGGTTCTGGAGTTAGGGTGGGGCTCTATTGATTATATAGTAAAAATACATTTTCTTTGAAAGTCTTATTCACTGCTCTTAGGTATTAGATAAACTAAGTAAGCACAAAGTTATGATGGGCAAGAGTGCCTATTCCAAAATTATGAAATTTATGGCCCCAAGGTTAGGGGTTCTGGTGTTAGGGTGGGGCTCTATTGATTATATAGTGAAAATGAATTAATTTTTTGAAAATCTTCTTCTCTGCTCCTGGGTATTAAATAAATTAACTATAGTAAGTACATAGTTATGACGAAGAAGGATTTTTTCTACCAAAATTATGAATTTCATTGCTCCAGGGTCAGGGGTTCTGTTGGTATGGCGGGGCTCTAAATGATTATATCTATTAGTGAAAATACATTAAATCTTTGAAAATCTTCTTCTATGCTCCTCTTGGATATTAAGCAGATGAATTACCTATTGTTATGATGAGCAACGTCCCTTTCTCCAGAGTTTTGAATTTCAAGGCACCAGGGTAAGGGGTACCAGGGGTGGGGGGCTCTACTTATATACTGAAAATGAATTAATTGTTTGAAATCTGCCCCTTTGTATTAATCAAACATTATTTTTGATAAGCAGTTTTAAGGGGGCCTTTTTAAAAATTGTGCAATGTGTGGAAGGGTCTTCTATGTTACAGTGTTAGGGGCTCTACTGATTATTGCTGAATATTGCTGATTAGTTGAAATAATTTCTGTTCCCATTAACTCAAACTATGAAATTGCTAAGTGTATATAGTCTGGAAATAAATGTTGAAAAAAGGTGTTAAAATTGTGAATGCCATAGCATCTAATAATAAAACATGAAGCAATTTCAATCACTTGAAAGTTGTTGCATGGCTCAGGTGACCTATATATCAATTGCTCAATTTAGGGCGATGGGGCGAAAATAAAACATTTTCTTGTTACAGTAACGAAATGTAATACAACTAGGAGACTTATTGTTCACAGAACAATTGTGTCTTTACACCTTCTTTGAACTGTTTTATATCTGACTCCTTAAAAATTATCCATAGTAAACCAAAATCTCTTAAAGCATTTTTAAAAAAAAGTCCTTATTCAAGGTCAAAGGTCTGCTTGACCCAATGCTTCTACCACTTATAGTTTTCAAGTATTTTAATAGTAAGTACATTAAAGGGCAAAACTCATTTAAGGGGTCATATTCTTTTGCACTTATACAATGAAAGGTCTAAAGACCCTTAAGTACATTAAATCTTTCCAAAATTATGAAATTTTTCTTCTTTTAAAAGGTTTAATCTGGGGTAAGAATGAAATCCTCTTGGATATTAAGTATATGTTGAAAGACAAAAGAATACAAAAAGAGCTAAATTTCACATATTTGCTTTGACCTATTGTTTTGATTTGGTCAAAGGTCAATGAATCTTATTGTTCTCTGAACAATATGCAGTTGGTCCCATATCAGAGTTTTGAAAATTTCAAGTTTCAGCACATAACCAGGGTCAAGGGGTTCTACTCCAAATTATGAAACAATTTATTTTTCATTTCTCTAGGTTCTGGTGGTATGGGGTAGCTCTACTTATATACTGAAAATGAATCTTTGAAAATCTTCTTCTGAAATCTGCTCACACGGCGGAAAAATTAATAACTAGGAGACTTATATTCTTTCCAAATTTCAAACATTATTTTTGATGAAGCAGTTTTAAAGCACAGAAAAAATAAAATTAAAGAAAAAATTGGGCCTTGACCTTTAACCTTGAAAAAATATTCAAGGTCAAAGGTCAAGGGTCATAATCTTTGAAAATCTTCATGCTTCTTAAATATTTTCAATTATTTGTTATGAGAGTAACATATAAGGGTGTGGAAGTTAGGCGTATCTTTAATACATTAATTATTTGGTTGAAATCTTTTAGTATTAATCAAACAAAAATAGGGTTTTAAAAAGGGTTAATGCCTTTTTAAAAATTGTGCAATGTGTGGACCTAGGGTCAGGTTTTATTTTACAGGGGCTCTACTGATTATTGCTGAATATTGCTGATTAGTTAAATACATTTTTGATTATTTGTGAATATTGCTGAAAGTTAAGGGGCAAACTACATTTCGTTCCCATACCCTGCACTATGGGTATTTTAAGTAACCAAACTTATGCAATTGCTAAGTGTATAAGTCTGGGAAATAAATGTTGAAAAAAGGTGTGAAAATTGTGAATGCCATAGCATCTACCAGGTAGCTTAAAACATGAAGCAATTTCAATCACTTGAAAGTTGTTGCATGATGCTCAGGTGACCTATAAGGCCCATGGGCCTCTTGTTTATAATTCGCCCAATCATGGTTAGGGCGAAGGGGGCGAAAATAAAACGGGGGCGACAATTTCTCTGTATACAGTAACGAAATGTAAGACAATAAATACTAATAAAACAAATCACTTGACACTTTGAGAGGGGTAAGAGAGGTCTTAGGGAGTTTTGGTATAAAATTGCATTGCAAAAGTTCAAAATCTTCTTGAAATAGCGTCAGGGTAGGATAGTGTTTCATACAGACAGAATGTATCAATTTACGACCTTGAACTTTGACCTTTTGACTTCAAAATTAAAAGGGGTCTTCCCTTAGGCCACAGGGAGTTGTTATGTAAATTTCATTGCAAAAGCCCAAAGGGTTCTCGAGATATCACGCGGAAACAAAAGTGTTATAACTGACAGAATTTGCGAATTTATTACCTAGACCTTTGACATTTTGACCTCAAAATCTGTAGGGTTCTTCTTTATTCCATAGGGAGCTGATATGCAAAATGTCATTGCAAAAGCTCAAAGGATTCTCGAGAACAAACATGCATAAATACATGTAACAGCCCCCCAAATTTACCGGGCCACCCCCATCGCCCCAGCAAAAAATCAAAACCCTTGAATGGCTTAAATAATATATCTGCTCACACGCTTTTTGTTGAAGTATATCTAAATAAGATTTTTATTGTATTAATTAAATCTGTTGGGGATAAAGGTTAAAATCCCATCCCCACTCCATCAAGTAACCTTTCTCTTTTATTGCATGTCTATAATGTAAAGTGTTTTGTCCACTGATTCATATCTCCCTCAATTAATTCGTGTACTAGAAATACATCATACACTTTAAAAATAAAAAAAGAAAAAAAAAACATTCCAAAAATAAGAAGCATGTCTTTGATTCCAAACCATCCACTAAAATTAAAAGTGTCGCATTAGTGTGAAATTATACAAATTGCCATTCTTGAAATAAAAAAGTTTAACCCTTTCCTAAGGCATTTCAACAAAGTTTTCTCGAGATATTTTTTTTTGTAAACTGTAGGAATCAAAACAGTTTTTTTTTGTTTTAAGCATTTAAACAAAGTTTTTTTCTGGATATATCTTGTAAACTTGATCATTCGACAAGCTTAGTCTGATTCTATCGCCTTTGTTATATGTAGATCAGAGGTCGGAAAATCCCGAGAAGTTGCGATTGATGTTCCGAGTGTTATCGAGATAAGAATGACAGTGCAAAACATATCGAAACAGAATACATACAACTGAAAAGCTTGAGTGTTATGAAGATCAATTATTTTAATAATAAAAAAAATATATAAAAAATTTGTTAATTGATAAAAAAAAAACTAGCTTGTAATTTCGAATTATTAATTGCCTATTTCCACTGTTTGTTTAGTCATATTTTTTATGATACATTTGGAAATCTTGAAAAAATGTTAGTCGTTCGAAAATTACATTACCAAAAAATTATCATTCTTGGCCCTGAAAAGCATTTCAACCATTAAAATAATTGAAAATTTTCTCAGCATGCAGCTTCTACCAATCTCAAAAGAGAGGAAGTGCATATTCCGAAAACTTGAAAAAAAGTTGTTCTACGATTTTAGATTTATTACATTCTCATTTAAGAAATACTTTATAAACTGTAAGTCGTCTCCTCATTCCTTTTATTGATCGGAGTAGTTCATCGTTGATTAAAGTAGTAATTGAAAAGGGATGTTCTGTCCTTATACACCTACATTTTATGTTCAATAGAACTGTATACATAATAAAGAAATGTATGTTAATCTTTCATTTATTTTACGTTTTTTTTTTCATTTTAGCTCACCCGAGATGAAGACTCAAGTGAGCTTTTCTGATTGCATTTTGTTCGTCGTCCGTCTGTATAGCTGTACGTCCAGCTGTCCGTCCTTCCCTCTGTCTATAAACTTTTCACATTTTAGACTTCTTTTCAAGAACCACTGGGCCAATTGTAATAAAACTTGGTACAGGTAAAAGAAGAGTTTAAATTGCCAGAAGAAAAGATCAAGTCCCTTCACAAGGGGAGATAATTAAGAAAGGACAAAAATAGAGTGGAACCATTAAAAATAATATTCTTTTGGAGAACCACTGGGCCAGAAAATCCAAACCTATGTGCAAGCATCCTGGGGTAGTGTAGATTCTGAATTGTACAAATCATAACCCCAGGGGAAGTGGCGGGGTTAACATTTTGCAGGAGAAAAATTATAATATTTTTCTCAAGTACCACAGGGTCAGAAAAGCTAAGACTTATGTTGAAGCATCCTAGGGTAGTGTAGATTTCAAATTGCTCAAATCATGACGAGGATAGGGCGGGCCGGGCCAAAATAGGGATTCAAAGTTTTACATGGAAATATATGGAATAAAAACTTCTTCTCAATAACCACCGGAGCAGAAAAAGCTGAAACTTATGTGGAAGCATCCTGAGGTAGTATATTTTAAATTGTTCAAATTATTACCCATTTGATAGGGTTGGGTCACAATCTGTACAGTGTATTACAAGGGGGGAATTTGGTAAAGAACAGCATGGTCAAAGCTACTCAGGTGAGCGATGTGGCACATGCGCTTCTACTTTGTAATTTATACGTCTGGTTTTCACTTTTTCATTTTTTTTTTTCGTTTCAGGTAAATACCATAGCTATCAGCCAATAGTCCGATGTCTACTGTACTGCTTACTGTTTACTGAGAAATATCAGCTGAATCTCAATGACAAATCACAAAAAACCACAATGGAAAAAATCAGAGACCAATATTTCCAAATGGTTACTGCAGGAAGCTCAGTAGATATGCCAGAGGAAATCACAGAAACACATAATGATGTGATAACATTTAAATCAGACGACATCAGACATGATGTCATGTACGCCTTTGTTACGGAGTGTTTGGTGGAGGACAGTGATCTGGAGTTTTTCCTGACCACGGCGTCACGTGATGTGATATATGAATACTGCAGACTCTTATGAGATTATGAGAGGAGTGAGGGAGAGAGATGTCTGTATATACCGGACAGACCGGAGAAGATGTACGACCTCTTCATAGACAAACTACAGCTGGACATCATCACACACTGTACCGTGTCTGACGAGGGGATTCATAACAGGATCAGTAAACGTTGTAAGTATTTATAATGTTTAACTGCACACAAATACTTCATCTATAAATCTGATCTAAAAAAAAATCTGCGTTTCTTTATGCAGGTTTACTTTGATTTGAGAGAGTTAATTTACATATTATATTGCCATAGGTTGTCATTTGAGGCATTTCTATAACTTGATGCTTGAAATATTTTACATTTTTGGGTTTTTTAAAATACTACAAAAGCCGGATAGGCTCATTTCTGAGAAAAAAAATTCGTTATAACGAGTTTGTTATCTCGTTATAACGAGTTAATTATCTCGTTATAACGAAATCTCGTTATAACGGTCTCGTTATAACGAGTTAATTTTTCTCGATATAGCGAGTTTAAAAATGGTCTAAGTGATATAGGAAGTATGGCATATAAAACCGAGTCGATCAAGTTTGTTTAAAGTGTGTATTATAAAGATTTTATTGAAAAACAACAAACTAGTTTTGTTTTTTTTTTTCGAGGGGTTGTTTCTGTGATTGCAGTTCGCTTATTTATAAACGATGCAGTTGACATATGAGTGGACAGTAGCTCCCGAATTTTACGCCCATGACTTAATTGCTGATGTCTCCATATCCCCCTTCTTCAAAACATTTCTTACTCTAAATATAATATATATCACACTGTAATATAATATATGTTGCATCAACGCCTTTATAACCTTGCTATTATAATGTACTAATTTAGGAACTTAGACATTGATTGTGAAAGCTTATAAGTCATCCAAAACGTCTTTTATTGGAGAAAGTTGTCATACATAAAGTGCCAAACTTTGAAGCAAGTACATTTGGCAATAATTTTTTTTTAATATTGTGTCCTTAGAGACGTTCACGTATCAATGTATAAATGTGTTCTGTTTAAAGATTGTTAACTCTGTGTTAAAATTGTTCGACACGTGCACTTCCCTTATCTATGGTGAAAGATTACTATTGACGTCATAATAACAATGACGTCAATTTGTAAATGTGAATTTGCTGAGGAAAATTTATTTGAAATGTGTTTTCCTTTTATCATTTATTACTTTATATATTATTAAAAGTAGTTTCTTCTAACATTGAAATATCAATTTACACTGAATATAAACAATACACTTTACAACGAATACATGTGCATGTAGTTTTTTTTCTGCATTTAATTCTAACACGATGAGTTGAATTTGAAACGAATTATAATAGAATAATAAAAAATAAACTAGATACGATCTCGTTGCGAGCAACGAGTGGGTCTTCCGTTCGATTTTTGATGAGATGAGATCAGATTTTGATTGAGATTTTCATTCTAAAGTAATGATTAACCATAATCTGTAAAAAGACATTGAATAATAAAGACTTCTTAAATCGACTTTTGGCCCCTCACGGCCCCTAATATCAGTGATCGGCCCTTTTTCTTTATAACATTTTAAATCTCTCAGGATTATGAACACTTTTTGTTCAACAACTATTCAGAGATTCTTTTTCGTTTTCGAGTTATTCCGAAAAGAAATATTAAGGGACCAGCCCTTCAACACCCTAATGG